AACTGGATAATCTGCACAAATGTTAGCTTCCAGGCTACTTGCTTGGTACTTTCTGTATTTCTGGACAAGATTTACCTAACATCTAGCCTGCTCAGGAAATGCAAAACAATATAATATAATGTCAGTTAAATCTGAGTCACTTTGTTGGCCACAACACCAGAACTAACAAACTTCTAAAACAGAAGACCATCTTTTTGCTTAGTTTTGGTGTCAGGTGTTCCGGCAGTGACATTAATTAGTTCTTTTTTCTTAGTTTTCTCATCTTAAAAAGAAGTGGATATACCTCTGAAATACCTATTTCAGAGGGTTGCTGCAGACACTAAAATTATCAACATATGTAAAAATGTCTAGTTTTTCTTCAGTCACTAAGTATTAGTTTCCTTTTAAATTATTTGCCATGAAAGCCATTAGGTGTCCCCACTCCCCCTCCCCAACAACAACAAAAACAAAAAAGAAATAAAAAAAGGAAAAGAAAAAAAAAAAAGGAAAGGGAAAAAAGGCCCTAGCCCTAGTGTAACTCAAGGAGAAATTCACATTCTTCACTCAGGGAGGATAAGAATTTGGATTCTACCCCAAGTCCAAAATAGAGACTAGCGTAGTATCAAGATAGACTCAACCTCCAAAGCAGTTTGGTATATACTAAACGCTACCTTTTTCTCTCCATTAACATCTCTTCCCTCCTGCTAATTTGCCCTTTATTTTTCCTCTGTTTCTCCAACTTTGAAATCACATGTCAATTTTTTTTAAGACAATGTAACAATAAGCAAGATATTTTTTGTCATTTTTTGCACTTTTGACATACCCCATCCGCAAACACACCCCAAACCAGGACACTGTGGAATTAATACAGCTTGGAGATTGGGTAAAGTTTAGTGACTCAGTGTTAGTTAAGATGCTGGCAACAGATGTTGGCAGAGGCTATGGAATGAGTCCCAAGAATGACAAACATTACACTACTCCAAAGGTTTGAAATCCAGGATCTCTCTGGATGGATAATGCGGCTAAGAGTTCCACTGCTGGTTTTAATTGCCTTGGAGTGGAAGGAGGTATCATATTTTCAGGCCATAGTAATCTCTTACTTTAGAATTCTTCTGAATAAAAAGCTTGGCAACAAAATCACTTGAGTTAGAGTGCTATGCCTTCTTGATTTAAGACGAAAACATGAAACAAATGAAACCACTCTGGCCTTTTTCCAACCTCTACAGATCCCTCATTCTTATACTTCGAGTCCATTTTTTTCTTCCTCATAACACCCCAACTCCTTTTCTGCTCTTTCTTTTCCTCCTCAAATCACATCTCTGCATTGCCTTGCTATTTGGCCACCCTATGATCTCCAGTGACCTTCATGGGGCAAAATGCTCATAATAAAACGACAATTTCAATCACAATCCAGTCCAGAAGTATTTGCCAAGAGTTTAGTCTGCGGTTAGCACCAAACTCTCCATTTTGCCACTGCAAACAGTGAACCCATAGTTCCCCAAAACAATCATAGTTCCTCATGCTTCCCTCTCAGCAGGGCTGAGGACAGAAGTGAAAATAAAATCTTCCATTACTACCCTGGGTCTAGCCAGAAGTATACCCCACTACACATGTAGATGGCAGCCAAGTCTTCACTCCCTCAGAGTTTCTGCTCCGAGAAGCTCCTCACTCACCTAACTCTTCCATTATCCTACATCCAAGATGCTCTTGTCTCACAGGCCGTGAGGAACAGCTTTAGCATGTGCTGAACAACAGGACCACAAAGGAACTGAATGAGACAGCAGAAGGCAGCCTCTATAACCCTTTTTGGTTCCTGTATTTGCTTAGCACTTCCTCTCTTTTGATTTGGTGAGGTTTTTTTTCTTTTCTTTTTTTTTTTTTTCATAGGTTACACAGTTTTATAAATGGGACTGACATAGAAAGGTAGATAGTAAGATTTGAGTTATGGTAGTGCATTGGCCAGGGTGATAGAGATTTAAAATTAATTTTGCAAAATTTGAGCACCTACTCTGTGCCAGGACTCATCTTGGAGTCATGGGAATGGCAGATTCATACTGTGTTTTTTCCAAGTGGAGGTACCCCACTCTAACTGAGCATCTACCTTTTTTTTTTCTGTGAAGCTGGGGAACCATGAAGGCATAGTCTTCTTCTTAAAATTTCCATTCAAATGGATTCCATCAGGTATCCATTCCATTTTGTTGTCTTAATGTACTTATTCAAAAATTATGCTTATCAGCTTTCCAGCACAGATTGTAAATCCTTAAAAGTAAGGCAGCAGTGGATTCATGCTTGGATTCTCGGGGCCTGGCTTACTCGGCAGTTCAAAATGCAAACATCTATGGGGGGCGGTCACAAAGAAGGAAGCCAGGTTTGATACCAGATATTAAACTGCATACATCTCAATTAAGCATAATCCTTGCCTAGATACATTACCTTATAGCAATTTCTCTGGAAAGTGACACTGAGGTTAACTCTTCACCGTTTTTACCACTACGATTTTATTCACCTTTAATGAAACATTTACAAAAAGCGTACTATAAAAAGGAACCATCCTGTTAAATAATTCTGTTAAATAGATTTTATCCCCGTTTTTACCAATGGTGAAATACGTTCATGCAATAGTAACTTGCTAAGATAATTAATTGGTAGCTTTGCTACCATAATCACAGATTTCAAAGTCTGTGATCTTTCCTCTAAAACACAGTGCTTTATTTTTTATTTTTTTTTTAGAGACAAACTCTCACTCTCTCTGTCACCCAGGCTGGTGTGGAATGGTGCCATCATTCATAGCTCAGTGTAACCTCCAACTAGAACGCCTGGACTCAAGCGATCTACCCTTTTCAGCTTCTGGAGTAGCTAGGATGGCAGGTGCATGCCATCACGCCACTAGGTTAGCTTAGGAACTTTATTTTCAAATTAAAAAAAAATTTTTTTTTTTTAGAGAGGGCGGTCTCCCTATGTTGTCCAGGCTGGTCTGGAAGCTCTGGGCTCAAGGGATCCTCCCACTTTTGCATCCCCAAGCGCTGGAATTTCGGGAGTGAGCTACCACATCCAGCCCACTGGGGCCTTTTTTTTTTTTTTTTTTTTTGAAATAATTCATTCTCCATTCCACTGTCTGTAAATTTTTTAAAAGGGGATTTCGCCTCTGTATTACTTTGGGCATCCATTGGATGTCAGTACTGTTCCTTCCAAAAGTCTGCTCACTGCAAACTCAATCTGAAAAAATTTCCATTGACACTATGCCAAACAATTATTACAACTGAAAATGACATTAGTCATATGAAAGGACAAAATACTCAGTAGAGAATATAAAACATTTGTCCAAATATGAAGTGGCATCTGAGTCAAAATACTGGAAGGAAAAATGTACTTCAGCACTTGTCCACAGTTTAACTGAATGATTAATATGAAATTTAGAATTGGATCCCCAGATTTTGATTCCATCTTCTTTCTTCTGGGGATTTTAGCCCTGGATGCTTTATTTTCCAGGGGTAAAGAGTGTTCTTGAGAATCGTTCCCTGATTGTAATGGATGAACGGAAGAAAGAAATGGGAGAGGCCCACTGCATCACCAACTGCAACGGAAACACTCTTTGATGAATCAGGAAGATAAATTAACGGCACACGCCAGTGGGCAGAAAAGTAACTTCTGATAAAGTTGCTATTGTATAAACAGATGGTTTCCAGCCGCAGAGCTTAAGAGAAGTTCAACTTATTCGTGTAGGTCACGAGAGTCACGTCGTGGTAACAACCTTTTCTGCCTCCCTCCAGGTCAGGCGCCGCAGCCAAGTTAAGCAACTGACGCCAACTCCTAGGTGCCCGAACAAGGTCTAAGTAGAAAAGCAACTTTACAATTCGTTTCGAAAATTTTATTAAGAGCCAACTGAGTAGTGAGCCTTCTGCCAGGGTCCCGAGGACCCCAGGGAACTACATTCAGCGCTTGACCTCCAGGAGTTCACAGGGACTCATACACAGGACGAGATCAATACTGTAGATGTGAACGCTAGCTAGCCAGTCCCAGAGGAGGTGTCATCTGACCAAACCAACATTAAGTTTGGGCAATTAGGCAGCCATCCGGAGAAAGCTACGCCAACGCCTAGATAAAAAGTAAGAAAAAGTAAAAAAAAAAAAAAAAAAAACCCACCCATCGGACTAGCAATTGGCTCAACACTTGAGCCCGGATGTACAGCAGGCGTCGCGACCTAACCCGGAAACACTGCCTCCTTAAAAATTAAAAAAAAAGTAAACTCAGACTGCAGAAAGTAAACTACCTTTCCCGGCGTGAATCAGTCAGAACCTCCCAGCATCCTCTCCACCTCTGGTTTCCCATCTGTTTTCCTAAAGCCTAGGCGAAATAGGACTTCATCTCCCACAATGCCCTTGGTTAAGTTACTATGCGCATGCGCCAGGAGGCGGGCTCTCGTTGCCCCCACAACCCCGCCTTCGTTCTACCGCCGCCATTTTTTTCAGAGACTTTCATCCGGCAACCGACGGGGCTTTTTTTCTTAAAGGAGAAGCGACAGCTCAAAATACTACCCCCTTATCCCCGCAAGATCTGGCGCCGCTGGGGACAGAAAGGCCAGAGACACGAAATTGGGGTAGGGTGGAGGCGGAATAACGCCCAGGCTACTTCTGCGGCCTAAAGAAGGACAGAAAGAGCCCTTAGGGAGGCAGGTGCGCGCGCAGCCAGCCTGGGGTGTGCATGAGGCGGGGAAAGAGGTGCGATTTCTTCTCACCCGCCTCCCTCGCGAGATCTATCCCTCGTACTGCCCCTAGCGCGCATTGAACTCCGGAGGGGGGAAAAAGGTCACTTTGGGATTGTCGCGAGACACCGCCGTTTAACGGTGAGAACGGGTGCGCGGGGAAGGAAACCTCGCGCGCTCCCTTGTAGCCGTTTCCTGATTGGCTCTAGGAAGGGGTGGGGGGAGGGAACCTGCAACGTCGCTGCGTGTAAGACCGCGAGGGGCGGGGTGAGGAAGCCTGTCTTCCTCTCCGATTGGCTCTCTGAACGTCAGTAGCGGGCGCGCGCGCGCCGCCAGCAGTAGCGGTCCTTGAGTGGCAGGGGGAGGGGGGGGCGCCCTCCGAGCCGGGCGGAGGGGAGGGGGGAAAAGAGGAGCGCAGGGTGAGAGTGAGCCGGAGGCTTCGGGAGGCGAGGGGGCGGGGGGAGCAGCGCGGAGGCCGCCGCCTCCCCCTCCGCCGCCTGGGAGTAGGGGGTGGGGGACGGACAAGCCCCGATGCCGGGGGAGACGGAAGAGCCGAGACCCCCGGAGCAGCAGGATCAGGAAGGGGGAGAGGCGGCGGCGGGCAAGGAGGCTCCGGAGGAGCCCCAACAACGGCCCCCTGAGGCGGCCGCGGCGGCGCCTGCAGGGACCACTAGCAGCCGTGTGCTGAGGGGAGGTCGGGACCGAGGCCGGGCCGCTGCGGCCGCCGCCGCCGCCGCTGCCGCTGTGTCCCGCCGGAGGAAGGCCGAGTATCCCCGCCGGCGGAGGAGCAGCCCCAGCGCCAGGCCTCCCGACGTCCCCGGGCAGCAGCCTCAGGCCGCGAAGTCCCCGTCTCCAGTTCAGGGCAAGAAGAGTCCGCGACTTCTGTGAGTAACAGTCTTTCAGGCGGTGGGAAAGACCCCCCTCAGTCCGTACGCAACCCTCTCGGCTCCCGTAGCGCCAGCTCCACGTGACATCCTGCCTGCTCTGCCCCCTGCCGGTTCCGCACGCCAGATGTCACCCGGTTTCCCCGGGAGCCTCCATCCCTCCTCTCTGCGCTACCCTCCCCTCGCCCCCGTACCCTAGCCTGTCGGGCTGCTTCCCCACTACCCGAAATCATCCTGGGATACACTCCTGCGCTCGCTAGTGACCCACCTCTTCCCTGCCGCCCCAGGCCCATCTCTCTGGCATCTGCACCCCCTTTGTCAACCTATTCCTTTCCCTTAGGCGGCTCTCCAGTATTACATCACTTGCCCGTTAGGAAATCCACAGCCCTATCATAGACGTCAAAAATGTGCCCCCCTCTTCGCGTTAGCCCAAGAGCCAGCTGTACTAGTATGTTTATGTAGCTTTTTTTCGCTCTTCTAAATTTTCACAGCACCTTTCTTTGGAGAAATTACTTACGGTCAGGATAAAAACATGGTACTGCCACGATTTTAAGTCTTTCATATAAAATTATATAAGTATTCTTCAATGTTTGTTTTTACCAAGTGGCATATGTTTTATCTTTGTGTTTCGTATTTTTAAATGTAGGAACTTCATCCTTAAAATTAGTATCATCTGAAAGAAATTCCTTTATAACCTAGAGGTAATAGAGGTAACAGGAACAGGTGGCTAGGAGCATTGCTTTAAATTGTTTGTTAATATAATACTCACATGTGAAGAATACTGAAGCACACAAGTTTGTAAATTCTAGATAATCACATTAACTATTGAATTCATGCTGAAAGCATTATTGGTGACCTTTGTCTTTTGAGTGAAAACAAACGGGTAAAAACAGAGAAAATTGGAGTGAGGGGGAGTCAGTTTTAAGTGTTCCCTTTTCTCCAGTAGAGTTAGTGCCAAGGTTTGGCTGACACTAGGGCTAATAGGTTTAAACTTGAAACAGAACTGGTCCAAAATTAAGAGGTAAGTCTGTGTGCATGCTTGCCTTAGAAGGCTTTCAGAAAGAGGAATAAAATTCAGAGGTAATCATATTGTGGTATTAGATTTGCTTTCAAATTTTTGAATGTCAACTAAGTAAACATAATTTAGAGAATTTATTGTAAAAACTGCAAGTCCGTCAACAGCAAAAATCTGTACTTACAGATTCAGCTGCAATTAGAATTCTAATTGCGCTAGATGCATTTCGTCTTACAAAAATTTTATAGTTCTATATTTGTTTAATCTTATAAATTTGAAAAGATACATGTATATCATTGGCCTCATTTGGATATGAATTCCTTGAGCAAACTCCTTAACCTACTCATGCTTTAGTTTCCTTAACTATAGAGGGTAGTCTCTACAAGGTGAGTTTTTGAGAATTAAATACAGCAGGTGAAGCACTAGATACGGTGCCTGTTACATAGTAAATTGTACAAGTTGCCGTTTTCAGTAATGTTGGGATGGTGGAGCAGTGAGTGGTTTGTAGTGATGTTTTTTATGTAAATTATGCAAAATATGATTTTTTTCATTTTACTGTACATAGAGAAGGTAATACTTAAAATATCTTTAAAATTTCCTTTTATTCTCACCTACCACTTGAAAGTTAAATATACCTATATCTCAAGATAATTATATCTAAAATAGTACCTGCTGTTTAATTTTTTTTTTTGAGATGGGAGTCCTGCTCCCTCTCTCAGGCTGGAGTGCAGTGGTGCGATCTCGGCTCACTACAGCCTCTGCCCCCGGGATACAGACAATTCTCTTGCCTCAGCCTCCCGAGTAGCTGGCATTACAGGTGCCCGCCACCAAGCCCGGCTAATTTTTGTAATGTTAGTAGAGATGAAGTTTCACCATATTGGCCAGGTTAGTCTCAAACTTTTGACCTCAGGTGATCCACCCACCTCGGCCTCCCAAAGGGCTAGGATTACAGGCGTGAGCCACCATACCCGGCATGCTTTTTAATTTTTTAAGGAAAAATAATTTTTTATTTGTTACAGTAGTTTTACCTGCTGTCATGATTTATTTTTACCCTAACTCTTGGCAACAAAGTACTAGTGACGCTAAATGTTACTGTCGTAATTGGATGAAGATGACTTAATTAAATGTCTTCATTTTTTCTGCACAGTATTCCTTGTTGGGAGGAAGAAATAAGTCTAAATTCTTAGTGCCCCCCCAATCCAATATCATAAAAAATAGTAGTGACAGTGGTATTATTCTTTCAGCCCCCAAATTATCCCTTGACTGTGTTTTTGATCAGGTTGTTAAACAAGTTTTCATCATAATAGTTTTTTTTTTTTTTTTTTAACACATTTTTGCCTTGCTTCATAATCTGGAAATCAAAGGAATGCTAAAGCATTTTAGCTTGGCAAACTTGTTTGATCAGTAACTGAACCTGGTACTATGCTGAACTAGGGGGTAGAAAGAAAAATGAGACATGGCCCTCGTCTTCAAGGACCTCGCAGTGTAAGGGAAAGTTGCATTATTGGTGGAGATTTGTCAAATGTATGCATGGCATAAAAATTTTCAGTCTTAAAATTCATTTTAAGACTTAGTTTTTTCTACTTAATTTAATCCTTTAAGATATTTTGAGAGCTTTTGAGTCCAAACCCTGGTCTAGTATCTCTTGACTTTTGATTCTTTTCTATTTTCAAAATGACATTTTGACTATTTTAAAAAGGTTTATTCTGTATTATTTGTTCACTCTCGTTCTTTTTTCATATCCCAGCTTTTCCCCCTATAAAATCTTAGTAATCAGTTGTTTAATCCACATTGGATTCCATTAATTAAAGTGATAGTAAAGTATGTCATAGTTGAAAAGATCAAGAAATAGATAGATTTCAATTGGTTGAAACCTCTGTTCCCACTGAAAGGCAAAATAATAGAATGGATAAAGCACTGGATTTTAGTCAGAAAGTTTTATGTTCCAGCTTTGTACTGTGCAGTAAGTGACCTTGAGCAAGTCACTTAACCTCTTTAGATGTGCTTCATTTATAATTGATATTTTATGGTTTTGTGAGATGAGCTTTTTAGTTTGATATTTAGCTTACAGTTCTTATAATCTAGTGTTTATGACAACTTCTTTTCACAATGAAATATTTGGGGGTGATTGGGAAGAAGTTATTTGTGGATGGAGGAGAAATAAATTTTTCATAGTATGTACTTAAGAGAAAGTTAAATGCTAGAATGATAAATTGAAGAACAGAAAGGAGGAAAAATAAACGGAATTTGAAGAAAGTTTATGTATCCATACTAAGAATAAGATTGATCATTTGCTGTATTTTAGCCAGTAAATTACAGTTATTTCAAGTGCCCGTTTATATGCTCTTTAAGTTTTGAAATAAATACACTCTACAAGAAATCTAGTAGCATTAGTATAGTATAGCATTAAACAATTTTTAAGACTAGGTTAAAATGCATGAGGCTTCATTTCATTCTTACATATAATAGTCCTTCGTTTATCCTATATATTTCAGAACTTAAAACTAGTGACAAATGCTCTTTAAAAATTCTAATTTTGCTGTTGAGTAACCATATTAGCAAATACTGAGTATTTTTAGATATCTTCCTTCAGATTCCGATTAAATAAAGTATTTTTATTTTCTGGTGTGTGAAATTCCATTTTTTTGTATATTTTCTTGCTAAAATTAAAACTAATAAACCTTTAGGTGACCTTGCTATTTCCCTTTTGAAGGTCATGGATAGTGAGGATGAAGAAGTGGTAATTTTCTGAATTGGAAAAACTTACAGCCCGTTACAGAAGCCTTCAGTTGTATAAGACTGAAATCCTGAGTGATGAGGACATTAGAGTAATCAGTATGATGATAGTAACATTGAACTAACTTTAAAGGTTTTGGGGAAAGTTTGTTATATAATTTTTCAAAAAGTTAGCAGTTATTTTTGCAGTTAAGATAGGATGATGAGCAGTTACAGTGTGTTAATTGGGACATGGGTAATATGATTTAAAATAAAATTATAATACTAGTCTTTTTTTGAAAAAGGTATGGAACAATGATAGCTATTCTCTAAGTAGAGTAGATTTTTGTATTATACTGTGGCTTCTGTATTTGCCTGGGTATTCATTTATAACATTGTAACATAGTAGATTCTTTACTATATTAGGTTTACTTTTGGAAGGAGCAACAACAAAAAAACATTGTACTGTTGAGAGATACTCTGTGGTATCTATATGATAAACATTCAGGACCTGTTGACTTTTGAATTTTAGTAGTAAGTATAGGGAAGTTTATTATACTGTCCTTACCGGTTATATATAAGAGAAATTTTCTCAGATTAAAAACCTGGGAATATATCTGATTTTTGTTGTTGTTGTTTGGGGTTTTAAAAAAAATCTTTAGGCTATAATAATTTTTAAGCTCTTCACTGTTGCTTTTTAATTTGTAAAGTGCAAGTTATATTTACTTGTGAGGTTTATCTGTGGTCTTTTTATAAGTAGGTTTTGATTTGGGATTTTAGGGCCTTTTGAAAAGTTAATTAAGTTTTTATTATTAAAATACACTAGTAGGGAAAATAATATAATGAAACCGCAGTATTTATCACTTAGATTCAATAGTTATTGAGATTTTGCCGGCCGGGCGTGGTGGCTCACGCCTGTAATCCCAGCACTTTGGGAGGCCGAGGCCAGCAGATCACGAGGTCAAGAGATTGAGACCATCCTGGCCATGGTGAAACCCATCTCTACTAAAAATACAAAGATTAACCCGAGCATGGTGGCACGTGCCTGTGTTCCCAGCTACTCGGGAGGGTAAGGTGGAAGAATGGCTTGAACCAAGGCGGAGGTGGCAGTGAGCCAAGATTGCGCCACTGCACTCCAGCCTGGTGACAGGTCCGTATCAAAAAAAAAAAAAAGGAGAGATTTTGCTATGCTTGCTATGTCTATTCCCTGTTTTGGCAGAAGTATTTTAAAGCACATCCCAAACATTGTCGTTTCATCTCTAGTTAGTACATTTATGTAAAATAAGAACATTTTCTTATATAACCACTTAATATAAAAATATTAGTAATATTTTCTTTGTATCAATATCTTAGTTAAAAACAACTGTTTTGAATGATATTCTAGCTCTGTGCTATCAGTTGTGATAGCCACATGTGGCTATTTAAATTTAGATTAATCAAAATAAAAAATACATTTTCACAATTACATGAACTGTTTCAAGTGCTCAGTAGCCACATGCAAGTACCATATTGGACCATGCAGATATGCTTCCATCACTGATGAAAATTCTGTTGGACAACACCGGTCCTGATGCTTTCTTTATCACTTTTAAGGTGAACCTGAAAGAGATAAATATTTATATTTTCAGAAAATGTGCAAGATTGCTCATTAATGTTTGATTCTTATTTCTTTCAGATGTATAGAAAAAGTAACAACTGATAAAGGTAAGACTTGGTCATTCATACCTCTAGTGTACATTACGTTGATTATTTTATAATCTGTTAGAAAGCCTCATGATTCAAATTAGTTCTCATTTAAAAGTAATTTTTATTTGGTAAAAAAATTACTGCGGTTGTTAGAATAGAATCTATTTAGATGACAGCAATTTCGGACAATAGAGTATATTGGCATTATTTAGAAACCTAATGACAAATCAGATTGTTTGATAGTAATTTATTATAATTTTTTAAGTCTTTTTCTGTTTTTAATGAAATAGCAGACTGGAATGATACACAGGCTACAGAGTGAAGTGAAGGCAAAAATCTTTATGCTAGTGTAGACCCAGATTATTATTGCAGAGTGAAGAATGCTGAGTGTTCTAAGAATTCAGCCTGGTGAATAATTAAATTAGGTCAATATTAGGTCATTTTTCTTTAAATTTGAATGCATATTAGATGTATGTATTAAATATAGTTTTCTGTTTTCCTAGGTTATGATGGGAAGCTAATGTTCAGTTTTCAATACCTTTTAAAATACTTGATTCTGACTTTATAGATTAGGTTATTAAAATTGTCTTAACATGTTGGACCAGTTGCTTATTCATTTCATTTTTGTTCCTTGATGTTAAATTCAAACACATAATATCCTCCTTAAAACTGTAACAAGCATGCTTTTAGGCACATTTCATTTATTGTGTGTGATCTTTCTTCACCCAGTCCTGACACAGTTTCCAAACTCCTGGAATCCACTTAATATCTGAGAGTTGACTGGTTAGTTTTTAAGGTCTACTTATAGCCTGCTACTATTTCTATAAAAGAATATATGTGTATGCATTTTATAAATCAATATGTGTATAATACGTGCATGAGATTCTTAAGGTTTTTCTGTTCTTCATCAAGAATTATTCAAGAACATATAAGGCAAGTTTAAAGCCTGGATTTTGTGCTATGTGGAAGAATGATAGTGTAATTAAGAACCAATAACTTGAATTGGTGGTGGCTGCTTTGTAAATAAGTAGGTTTCAATGCTGAGGTTTCTTGTTTCTCTGAATTTTGGAATCTTAGGCTAATATTTCATAGTATACCAGGAAGAAGTTTCTCATACCTGGAACTTTTTTTTTATGTCAAAAGCTTTGCATGATTATTTTGTCTAGCAAGTTTTTTATTTCTGTTGTTGGTGCTTAGAAAATAGGTTATGTCTGCCAAAAATGGAAAGTTTCACATTCCTTATTCAGAGATCAATTTGGAGATTTTATAATGTGAAGAAAACGTAATGACAGGTAACAAGTCTAAAGCATTCTGATTAAAACAAAAAGCAGCCTTTGTCAAGAGCTGAAATTACCTTATATGTCCAGAGAATGGCTGCCTTGAGGCAAACTTGAAGTAGGTGGAAATTTTGAGCCCATTTTGGGGAGAGAAGTAGTTAACCTCTGTGTAGATGGGTTTTGTTTTTTTTTTTTTAGCTTATTAAGTAGAGACAGTGTTTAGCCAGGCTGGTCTTGAGCTCCTGGCCTCAAGTGATCTGCCTGCCTCATGTGTAGATGTCTTAAACTAGAAGTTGACATACTGGCATGTTTCATGGTTGTGCAGCTGTGGAGAGATTAAAACTACATTCTGGATAATTTGATCCAAAAATCAGTCCCACTTTAATCTACCGTTTAAAGACCCTGGATCTAGATACTCTGAAATGCCAATCTTCATCTCTGTTTGTTTACCTGTTAAGATAGCTGTTCAGCTCTAAGAACAGTACATAGGTATATAAGAACTGTAACTTAAATTCATATAAGATGAATGAAGAAAGAAATGGAGGCTCGGGTAGTCACTTTTTCCTGTTCTGTTTAGTATTTAAAATTCACCTTATTTCTCTTCTTCTGGTCATTCAACTTCTCAGTTATTCTCCTATTCTGGAATAGTCCTTAGGTTCAGTCTGCTAAATTTTAACTGGAATAACTCATGCTTATTTCAAAAGTTAAGGGTTTTTCAAAACTTTAAACAGGTTTTAGTTTTTAGAGGTATGACTTGCCCTCTGTTGTATTAATGTTGAAAAGATGTCTTCAGGATTGTTTTTGCTCTTATTTACTCAAACCATCTAGAGATTGTATGCCTTCCTTGAGTTGAAGAGAAGAACCTATAACTTACATATAAACAATATTGCACACACAGAGTATGCAACTTTCCATGTTTTTTAAATTAAGTTGCAAAGTGCTACATTCACTTTTTTCAAACTGAAATAATAACAAACATCAATATTAGTTTCTGGTTTTGCTACCCTTTTTTAACCCTGATTGTTATGTAGAACAAATGAAAAGCTACTGTGCTAAAATGTTGTTAATTAATGCATTCAACAAGTAATTGTTTAGCATCCCCTATGTGTCTGGCGCTATTCTAGGCACTAGATTATACTGGTAATCAAATACATGAAATGAAAAGAGTGTAGTAATGTTTGATGAAGTTGGAGTTGGGAAAACTAAGTTTAAACGAAGTGATAAGGGAAGACCTTTTGGAGGTGACATTTGAAGTTACACCTGAAAATGCAGATAGTTAATTTGGACAAGGAGCATTCCACACAGAAGTTAAAAAGGAAAAAAAAAAAGCTTCAAACTTGAAAGCTTAGTTTACCATTGCCAGAGGATTATCTTCTTCATTGTGGAGTTTTCAAGAGTGTTGGCTGAAATTTTAAGGGATGGAGGCCTAGTTCCTTTTTAACGTGGCTTTATGTTTTGTTTCTCTGTTTTTTTGAACCAGTGTTATACTTAGGATTATAAAGTAAAAGAATGGTCTACCTACACCTAATTTTTAGTTATCCCAGTGTTAATTTATTTCACTTTCTAACCTTTGATTAGATATATTGTGAAGCCTGATTGTTTTTTGCTTCCATCCGTTGTGTCCTTAATGATGAATAATAGTTAAAACTGCCATCAAGATAAAACATCATAAAAACGGAGACTGGAATACTTTATTAAAATATGTCTTAAATGTTTAATGGAATGATAATAAATGCTGCAGAATCAAGTAGATGTGGACAGTGCTTAAGTCATTATTAGATAGGTTATTAATTGCAGAACTTTTTAGAAACACTGATTTTTGAGTTATGCACAGTGTAAATACCAACAATTTCGCAGTGATTACCGAACCTATTTGACTTATAAGACCCCCTTTTTAAAGAACATTTCATAGAACTGGAGTTTAATAGAAAGCATGCTTGGAAATACTGCATGCTTGAAAATTTGATTGTGTAAGACTCTGGACTTCAACCTTTTATTCAAAATCATTTTACTCTTTTCAGTTGCTCTTCTGAAACCGTGATGTTTGACAGCGATTACTCAGAGTTTCTGACTTATGTGTAGTCAGCGGAAAAGAAAAAAAGTCATCAAATTCATAATAGATCTAGGCATTTACTTAGATTATTTGGAGCTTTAACTGTTAAGTATTCACCTTATCTAGTTTATCATAATCAGCATACTATCTAGAATTATTACTAAAATATTAGTTTATTTTTATTTTTTTTCCTCCTGTCTGGATGACATCTGCAGTGTTTTTTCTTACATTGATTTAGTCTAATTTATAGATTATGCCTCTGTGCTCCATTTTTAAAAATTAGAATTAATTTATTATTAACAGTTTTCTTAGATTTCAATGGAGTTTTCTTTTACCTGTATTGAAATGTCTTTGATTATCTTATCCTCTCAAATCAGTCTCTTGCATCCTGTTCATCTTGGCCTCTTGTCAGCTTGCAACCCCAACATAATATTGACGTTTCTACTTCCTTTACAGATGGGTCTCTTTTATAGTATACTTTTTTGTTGGTTTTTCTTTCTTTCTAGTTTAAAGAATATTTTTATTATTTCTGAAAATATAGAAGACACATTTTTATGCTTTTTTTCCTAGTCCAGTGAGAAAATCTAACTTTTGTAATTCTTACCATTGTATACAGAAGGCAGATACGAGGATATACTGCAAACATTGTCTTGACAATTCTTTCTTGAAAGATTTTAAATCTTCTTGCTAATGACCTAGTTTTTTTAGTCAAAATAAAATGTTATAGGTTTTGAGTAGAAAACAGTTCTGGAAGGAAAATCTGTAGGTGAGAAAGGGAGTGTATAACCCCAGTCTTAACCCTCAGATTTTTTGTTGTTTACTTTTGAGACAGGGTCTCACTCTGTTGCCCAGGCTGGAGTGCAGTGGTATGATCATGGCTCACTGCTGTATTGATCTCCTGGGATCAAGCCGTCCTCCTGCCTCAGCCTCCCAAGTAGCTGGGACTACAGAAGTGTGTCACCATACCCAGCTAATTGTTTTTAATTTTTTTTTTGTAGAGACAAGGTCTCATTGTGTTGCCTAGTCTGGTCTGGAACTCCTGGGCTCAAGCAGTCCTCTTGCCTTGGCCTCCCGAAGTGCTGGAATTTATAGGCATGAGCCACTGCGCTGGCCTGTTAGTTTTAACTGAAATATTCTCCTGTACAAATTAAATGATACTGTTCTAAATTTAAATGTAAGTTAAAAACAACAACAACAATAAACTGAGATTGGCTAATATTTCAAAGCTGACTTTACTAATTATTTATGGAAAACAAAGTACAGCTAATGATAGAAATACACAGAAGAGTTCAGAAACTCAAGTTTCTGATAATATAGTAATGTTCAAGTCTCAAAGGCTAAATACATTAGATAGGCATTTTTATTTGTCCTTTTCTTCTGATCCTTTATCTTAAGGTAGCAGTAACTAAATTATTTGTCTTAGTATGAGAATAATTTACTCAGACATCTTGTTCTGTGTTGGATATGACCTAGAACCTTTAACTCATTTTGCTAGTTCAGACATCCACACCTCCTTTGGTTCTTCCTTTCTATTGTTAATTCCCTACAAATAGATACATGTCACTTATCATATTGTAGATTGTGATGTAGGCTTAAAAAGCCTTGATCATCAGCTTTTAGTTATGTGATTGTCTATCAGGTAAATGAATCATAACTTTACAATATTTGTCTGTTACAGTTCAACGTGA